CAGAGACCCATAGACTCATCACACAGATACCCATAGACTCACAACAGAGACCCATAGACGACTTATCACACAGAGACCCATAGACTCACCACACAGAGACCCACAGACTCATCACACAGGGACCCAAAGTTTGTCCTTCCCCCGCACCTCCGATTAGTGCGGTTGGCTACGTACGGTACAAAAGAAGTTCAAATTACACACAGATAATCGTCACACACATACAGACATTCACGCACACACCGCCTTCACACAACACCTACACAACTACAAATACACACGAACACACCCCGCATACACCCAACACCTACACACCTACAAATACAAAGACTTCAGTATAGCCATAACAGACTGTAGGGGCAAGTGCTGTTAGCGAGCACCTATGAAGGCCGATAAGGCACACGAGGGGGTGGGTGGCCAGCACAAGGCCCGGCCGCCTTTGTCTCCCAAGTGGGAGACAGATACTCATTTGAGGCTCAGTAGACCTAGGGGAAGCCCAGAACCGGCTCAGATAATCGTCACTGGTGTTGGACGTGAGCAGGTATCGAACTCGGGACGCCACCACTCCCCATAACACAACACCTACACACCTATAAACACACACATGTACACACACAGCACATTAACACAACACCTACACACATGTACACACTGCATTCACATTCACATATCTACACAACTACAAACACACACATGTACACACACCACATTCACACAACACCTACACACCTACAAACACACACATGTAAACACACACCACATTCACACAACACATACACACCTATAAACACACATGTATACACACACCACATTCACACAACACCTACACACCTATAAACACACGTGTACACACTGCATTCACATTCACATATCTACACAACTACAAACACACACATGTACACACACCACATTCATACAACACCTACAAACACACACATGTAAACACACACCACATTCACACAACACCTACACGCATGTATACACACACCACATTCACACAACACCTACACACCTATAAACACACATGTACACACACACCACATTCACACAACACCTACACACCTATAAACACACACATGTAAACACACCCCACATTCACACAACACCTACACACATGTATACACACACCACATTCACACAACACCTACACATCTATAAACACACGTGTACACACAGCACATTCACACAACACCAACACACCCACAAACACAAGTACACACACCACATTCACAAAATACAAGTACGCACACTCACACACGCCTTTAATATACAAAGACAACGATCTCCCGGTAAAGCCTTACCAGACTGTTGGGGCAAGTGCTATAGAGGCCGATACTGCACACCAGGGGGTGGGGTGGGTGGCCAGCACCACACCCGGCCGCCTTTGTTTCCCCAATAGCGATGTTTACGCATCACACCAGGTACTCATGTGAGGCCGAGTCGACATACACACACACTAACTACGCACGCACATCTACAAACAGAACATTTACAAAACAAACATCTTACGCACACACACACACCTTATATACACACATCTTATATATACACACACATACACGCACTATACATACAAACCCATAAATAAGCATGCACCACAAGGAGTCTAAAATTAATGACTCAGGCTCACAGCTCTCCCCTCCCTCCGCCCCCCACTGTGCCCCCCATCCTTTGCCCCCCCCCCCTCCGAGTCCACCAATACCCAAGCCCCCACCGTCTCTCAGCATGCCTACCGCAACACTCTGGCCCCGTTAAACCGCACAGCTCACTAAATCACTCACTATTGCATTTCCTCCTCCTCTCCTCCTCTCCCTCCTCCTCCTCTCCCGCCCCCTCCCTCCCCCTCCTCTACCTCCCCTCCCCTCCCTCCCCCTCCCTCCTCCCCCTCCCCTCCCTCCCCCTCCTCTCCCTCCCCCTCCTCTTCCCCTCCCCTCCTCCTCTCCCTCCCCCTCCTCTCCCTCCCCCTCCTCTCCCTCCCCCTCCTCTCCCTCCCCCTCCTCTCCCGCCCCCTCCCTCCCCCTCCTCTCCCTCCCCCTCCTCTCCCTCCCCCTCCTCTCCCGCCCCCTCCCCTCCCTCCCCCTCCCTCTTCCCCTCCCCTCCTCTTCCCCTCCCCTCCTCTCCCTCCCCCTCCTCTCCCGCCCCCTCCCTCCCCCCTCCTCTCCCGCCCCCTCCCTCCCCCTCCTCTCCCTCCCCCTCCTCTCCCGCCCCCTCCCCTCCCTCCCCCTCCTCTTCCCCTCCTCTTCCCCTCCCCTCCTCTTCCCCTCCTCTTCCCCTCCTCTTCCCCCTCCCCCTCCTCTCCCTCCCCCTCCTCCCCCTCCCCCTCCTCCCCCTCCTCTCCCTCCCCCTCCTCTCCCTCCCCCTCCTCTCCCTCCCCCTCCTCTCCCTCCCCCTCCTCTCCCTCCCCCTCCTCCCCCTCCTCTCCCTCCCCCTCCTCTCCCTCCTCCCCCTCCCCTCCCTCCCCCCTCCTCTTCCCCTCCTCTCCCTCCCCCTCCTCTCCCTCCCCCTCCCCTCCCTCCCCCCCCTCCTCCTCTCCCTCCCCCTCCCCTCCCTCCCCCTCCTCTCCCTCCCCCTCCTCTCCCTCCCCCTCCCTCCCTCTCCTCTCCCCCTCCCTCCCCCTCCTCTCCCCCTCCTCTCCCACCCCCTCCTCTCCCTCCCCCTCCTCTCCACCTCCCCTCCCTCTCCTCTCCTCTCCCCCTCCCCTCCCTCCCCCCTCCTCTCCCTCCTCTACCGCCCCCTCCCGCCCCCTCTCTCCCCCTCCTCTCCGAGCTGCTCTTTATGATTTTGGGTTTAAGTGCCACACAGTAAAAAACTAAAGTCGGGGGGAGTCTCGCGTCCTCTTTGCTGGGCTGGAACTCGCCCCGGGGTACAAGGTAGTTGGTGGTGGTGGCGTTGGTGGTGGTGGTGGTGGAGGTTTAATCAGTCCAGCACGCGCGCCACTGCCCCTGGACCCGCGGCAACCCTCATGGATTTAGCCCTGTCCGTCCACTGCCCGTGTCTGTCTGTATGTCTCTGTGTGTGTGTGTCTACACGTCTGTGTGTGTGTCTACACGTCTGTCTGTCTACATGTCTGTCTGTGTGTCTACATGTCTGTCTGTGGTGTGTCTCTACATGTCTGTGTGTCTACACGTCTGTGTGTGTCTACGTCTGTCTGTGTGTCTACACGTCCGTCTGTGTGTCTACACGTCTGTCTGTGGTGTGTCTCTCTACATGTCTGTGTGTCTACACGTCTGTGTATGTGTCTACACGTCCGTCTGTGTGTCTACACGTCCGTCTGTGGTGTGTCTCTACATGTCTGTGTGTCTACACGTATGTCTGTGTGTCTACACGTCTGTGTGTGGCGTGTGTCTCTACACGTCTGTCTGTGTGTCTACACGTCTGTGTGTGTGTCTACACGTCTGTCTGTGGTGTGTCTCTACACGTCTGTCTGTGGTGTGTCTACACGTCTGTCTGTGTGTGTGTCTACACGTCTGTCTGTGGTGTCTCTCTCTACATGTCTGTCTGTGTGTCTACACGTCTGTCTGTGTGTTTACACGTCTGTGTGTGTGTCTACACGTCTGTGTGTGGTGTGTCTCTACATGTGTGTGTCTACACGTCTGTGTGTGTGTCTACACGTCTGTGTGTGGCGTGTATCTCTACATGCCTGTGTGTCTACACGTCTGTCTGTGTGTCTACACGTCTGTCTGTGTGTCTACACGTCTGTCTGTGTGTCTACACGTCTGTGTGTGGTGTGTCTCTCTACATGTCTGTGTGTCTACACGTCTGTGTGTGTGTCTACACGTCTGTCTGTGTGTCTACACGTCTGTCTGTGGTGTGTCTCTCTACACGTCTGTCTGTGTGTCTACACGTCTGTCTGTGTGTCTACACGTCTGTCTGTGGTGTGTCTCTCTACATATCTGTGTGTCTACACGTCTGTCTGTGGTGTGTCTCTCTACATGTCTGTCTACACGTCTGTCTGTGTGTCTACACGTCTGTGTGTGGTGTGTCTCTCTACATGTCTGTGTGTCTACACGTCTGTCTGTGTGTCTACACGTCTGTGTGTGTGTCTACACGTCTGTGTGTGTGTCTACACGTCTTTCTGTGGTGTGTCTCTCTACATGTCTGTGTGTCTACACGTCTGTCTGTGTGTCTACACGTCTATCTGTGGTCTGTCTCTTTACATGTCTGTGTGTCTACACGTCTGTGTGTGTCTACACGTCTGTCTGTGCTGTGTCTGTTTACATGTCTGTGTATCTAGACGTCTGTCTGTGTGTCTACACGTCTGTCTGTGGTGTGTCTCTTTACATGTCTGTGTGTCTACACGTCTGTCTGTGTGTCTACACGTCTGTGTGTGGTGTGTCTCTCTACATGTCTGTGTGTCTACACGTCTGTCTGTGTGTCTACACGTCTGTCTGTGGTGTCTCTCTACATGTCTGTGTTTATACGTATGCCTGTCTCTCAACATCTGTCTATTTATATGTCTGTGTATATGTCTGCGTGTCTATATATAATGTGCGTGTCTACATGTCTACCCGTGTATCTATATGTCTGTCTCTCTGTCTATATTTTTGTCTGACGACTCTATATGTGTCTGTCTCCATGTCATGTCCATCCATGTGACTATATACATGCCCGTCATCCTGTGCGACCAATTAATCTCTTACCAAGTTGCCTTGCTATCAGGAACCGGCCCTATATTGCATTGTCTCTGTCCGTCTAAATGTCCGTCTACCCTCCATCTATCTGTCCCTCTTGTCTGTATCGAAGAGGCGAGGCCCTGGCCCAAATTTGGACGTCTGGTGAGGCCAGCGTTGCACGGGTTTGGTTCTGGCTCGGCACCACAATCGAGCCAGTGGAAATATTATTCTTTTAAACCCACCGGTACCGTGAGGGGCTCCACGCCAGACAGGTGAGGGGTGAGGAGGAGAGGTGAGGGTGAGGAGGAGAGGTGAGGGTGAGGAGGAGAGGTGAGGGTGAGGAGGTGAGGGTGAGGAGGAGAGGTGAGGGTGAGCGGTGCGGTAACTCACCGGCCGTGTTCCCCTTGGGACTGGCCACCTCCACAAACACTTCCATCAGCCTCTCCGGATTGGACCTTCACCAAAGACAAAGAAATTCCCCTAAAGCACGGGAAGGCAACATGCGGGGCCATATGATCTACAGTTTGTTTGGGTTGGGATGGCCCCCCCTAATCGCACTGCATTGTTACGAGGGGATATCACTCTGTGTGTCTCTATGTATCTCTATGGGTCTCTGTGTATCCACGGGTCTCTGTCTATCTCTATGAGCCTATGGGTTTTCCATATGATCCACAGTTTGTTTGGGTTAGGATGGGCCCCCCCCTAATCACACTGCATTATTACGAAGGGGATATCACTCTGTGTGTCTCTATGTATCTCTATGGGTCTCTGTATATCCACGGGTCTCAATGTATCTCTATGGGTCTCTGTATATCCACGGGTCTCTGTGTATCTCTATGAGCCTATGGGTTTTCCATATGATCCAGTTTGTTTGGGTTAGGATGGGTCCCCCCTAATCGCACTGCATTATTACGAGGGGATATTACTCTGTGTGTCTCTATGTATCTCTATGGGTATCTGTGTATCCACGGGTCTCTGTCTATCTCTATGAGCCTATGGGTTTTCCATATGATCCAGTTTGTTTGGGTTAGGATGGGCCCCCCCCCTAATCACACTGCATTATTACGAAGGGGATATCACTCTGTGTGTCTCTATGTATCTCTATGGGTCTCTGTATATCCACGGGTCTCTGTGTATCTCTGTGGGTCTCTGTATATCCACGGGTCTCTGTGTATCTCTATGAGCCTATGGGTTTTCCATATGATCCAGTTTGTTTGGGTTGGGATGGCCCCCCCTAATCGCACTGCATTATTACGAGGGGATATTACTCTGTGTCTCTATGTATCTCTATGAGTCTCTGTGTATCCACGGGTCTCTGTCTATCTCTATGAGCCTATGGGTTTTCCATATGATCCACAGTTTGTTTGGGTTAGGATGGGCCCCCCCCTAATCACACTGCATTATTACGAAATGGGATATCACTCTGTGTGTCTCTATGTATCTCTATGGGTCTCTGTATATCCACGGGTCTCTGTGTATCTCTGTGGGTCTCTGTATATCCACGGGTCTCTGTGTATCTCTATGAGCCTATGGGTTTTCCATATGATCCAGTTTGTTTGGGTTGGGATGCCCCCCCCTAATCGCACTGCATTATTACGAGGGGATATTACTCTGTGTCTCTATGTATCTCTATGAGTCTCTGTGTATCCACGGGTCTCTGTCTATCTCTATGAGCCTATGGGTTTTCCATATGATCCACAGTTTGTTTGGGTTAGGATGGGCCCCCCCCCCTAATCACACTGCATTATTACGAAGGGGATATCACTCTGTGTGTCTCTATGTATCTCTATGGGTCTCTGTATATCCACGGGTCTCTGTGTATCTCTATGGGTCTCTGTATATCCACGGGTCTCTGTGTATCTCTATGAGCCTATGGGTTTTCCATATGATCCAGTTTGTTTGGGTTGGGATGGCCCCCCCTAATCGCACTGCATTATTACGAGGGGATATTACTCTGTGTGTCTCTATGTATCTCTATGGGTCTCTGTGTATCCACGGGTCTCTGTGTATCTCTATGAGCCTATGGGTTTTCCATATGATCCAGTTTGTTTGGGTTAGGATGGGCCCCCCCTAATCGCACTGCATTATTACGAGGGGATATCACTCTGTGTGTCTCTATGTATCTCTATGGGTATCTGTGTATCCACGGGTCTCTGTCTATCTCTATGAGCCTATGGGTTTTCCATATGATCCAGTTTGTTTGGGTTAGGATGGGCCCCCCCCTAATCACACTGCATTATTACGAAGGGGATATCACTCTGTGTGTCTCTATGTATCTCTATGGGTCTCTGTATATCCACGGGTCTCTGTGTATCTCTGTGGGTCTCTGTATATCCACGGGTCTCTGTGTATCTCTATGAGCCTATGGGTTTTCCATATGATCCAGTTTGTTTGGGTTGGGATGGCCCCCCCTAATCGCACTGCATTATTACGAGGGGATATTACTCTGTGTCTCTATGTATCTCTATGAGTCTCTGTGTATCCACGGGTCTCTGTCTATCTCTATGAGCCTATGGGTTTTCCATATGATCCACAGTTTGTTTGGGTTAGGATGGGCCCCCCCCTAATCACACTGCATTATTACGAAATGGGATATCACTCTGTGTGTCTCTATGTATCTCTATGGGTCTCTGTATATCCACGGGTCTCTGTGTATCTCTGTGGGTCTCTGTATATCCACGGGTCTCTGTGTATCTCTATGAGCCTATGGGTTTTCCATATGATCCAGTTTGTTTGGGTTGGGATGCCCCCCCCTAATCGCACTGCATTATTACGAGGGGATATTACTCTGTGTCTCTATGTATCTCTATGAGTCTCTGTGTATCCACGGGTCTCTGTCTATCTCTATGAGCCTATGGGTTTTCCATATGATCCACAGTTTGTTTGGGTTAGGATGGGCCCCCCCCCTAATCACACTGCATTATTACGAAGGGGATATCACTCTGTGTGTCTCTATGTATCTCTATGGGTCTCTGTATATCCACGGGTCTCTGTGTATCTCTATGGGTCTCTGTATATCCACGGGTCTCTGTGTATCTCTATGAGCCTATGGGTTTTCCATATGATCCAGTTTGTTTGGGTTGGGATGGCCCCCCCTAATCGCACTGCATTATTACGAGGGGATATTACTCTGTGTGTCTCTATGTATCTCTATGGGTCTCTGTGTATCCACGGGTCTCTGTGTATCTCTATGAGCCTATGGGTTTTCCATATGATCCAGTTTGTTTGGGTTAGGATGGGCCCCCCCTAATCGCACTGCATTATTACGAGGGGATATCACTCTGTGTCTCTATGTATCTCTATGCGTCTCTGTGTATCCACGGGTCTCTGTGTATCCACGGGTCTCTGTGTATCTCTATGAGCCTATGGGTTTTCCATAAGATCCAGTTTGTTTGGGTTAGGATGGGCCCCCCCCTAATCGCACTGCATTATTACGAGAGGGGGGCTAACCAACTACTTGAAACCTCTGCGCACGAGGCAGACCAGCAAAACCCACTTTCTGCACTGCCACAGCGAAAGGCCAACGCGGGCAGTGACCTCAAATCAAACACGGGAGTCAAGAGTTTGACCATACTTCACCACGCTGGTCATCGGTGCGCGGTGTCGGCGTGCAGTATAGGCGGGAGGCATAGAAAGGAGCCAGAGGTACTGTACAACTATTTCATGCCCCTCCAACCCCCAGATAAACTTTGGAGCACCGCAGTTCAAACAATAAACCACGGGAGGAGAGGGGAGGGGGGTCTTAGGGGGGTCTTCAGGGGTCTCAAATCCCCCACACCCCCCCAACTACCCCCTCTGATCCCCCTTTAACCCCGTTAACAATCCCCGCCAGTTGCGGCCTTTGGCGTCCCGTATAGCCTCGGCTTTGCCTGAACACCCTGCCCGGTAAACACCCTCACCCCCCCAAGGGACACACAGACCCCCCCCCCCACCCCCAACTTAAATAACCCCTAAACACACCCCGAAGACAACTTAAAGATCCCCCCATAGACTCACCTCAGCCTTGAATCCATCGCGGAGATCAAAGTGGGGGGGGGGTCCAGTTTTGGGGGTCTTCAATTAAGGAGATGGGTTTGGGGGGGGGGGTGGTGGAGGCAGTAAGCCCCCCTTGTGAACACGGTAGCTTCGGGGTGTGCTGCCCCGATCGAAGGGGGTCTGAGACCCCCTCGGATGGAGGGATCCCTGCTTGTATCACAGAGTGAAAGTAAGTTTGTCCGTCAAGGATCGATGGTGCGTGGAGTGGTGGGGAGGTGTTCAAGGGGTTGAGTTGGAGGTCCGAACCTAAGGTTCTATCGAGGGGGTTCGGGGTTGAACTGGGGTTCCCGATGCTTGGGGGGGTGGATGGGTTGGGGGTGTCAAGGGGTGCCACAGTCAAGGGATCTAAATCATCTTTGGCGGCGGCGGCGTGCGGAGTCCAGGAAGCATTTAGCCAACGCCTCACGTAGCTACCGGGGGTGGTCTCACGGGGGTCTTGGGAGTTATCTTGGGGGATACCTTGACGAGGTGAAGTCTCTAGAGACGTCAGCGGCCGAGACTTAAACTAGCGAGTCCGATGTAAGGGGGCCCCGCGGGCGAGGCGTCCTAACGCGGAGACGGAGCGACGGAATGATCAATCAGACGGAGCGCTGGGACGACGTCCGGCTGGGGAACCGGGGCCTCATTCAGCAGTGGATCGATCCTGACGGCGACTACTGCTGCTGTTGTTGATGATGAGAGGATCTCTCCCCTCTCTCTCTCTCTAGGTTCTTGAGGTCACTGGGGTTCCAGCGACTCGGAGGGGGGGGGGGGGTCCCTAAGTCTTGGGGTCCCGAGTCTCGGGACGGGGGGGTCCCTAAGTCTTGGGGTCCCGAGTCTCGGGGGGGGGAGGTCCCTAAGTCTTGGGGTCCCGAGTCTCGGGGGGGGGGGGGGGGGGGGTCTTGATGACCCTGGGTCTTGGGTTCCCGGAGTCTCAGGGGGTCTTGAGGTCCATAGGTCCTGGGGGGGGGGGGGGGGGTCCAAGGTTGTAGGGGTCTTGAGGTCCCAAGGTCTTGAAGTCCCGAGTCCCAGGGGTCCTTGGTTCTCGAGGTGAGGGGTCTCAGAGGCACCCCGCGGGTCCCGAGCGAGGCGCGAGGCCCAGGCAGGAAGCAGCGACGCTGGTGTGGGCGGTACGTGGGTGACGTCACGGAGGACTACGCCCACTCACCTGTAGACTCACCTGTGCACTCACTCACCTGTACACTCACTCACCTGTACACTCACTCACCTGTACACTCACTCACCTGTACACTCACCTGCGCACTCACCGTTACACTCACTCACCGTTACACTCACTCGCCTGTAGACTCACCTGTGTACTCACCTGTACACTCACTCACCTGTAGACTCACCTGTGCACTCACCTGTACACTCACTCGCCTGTAGACTCACCTGTGTACTCACCTGTACACTCACTCACCTGTAGACTCACCTGTGCACTCACCTGTACACTCACTCGCCTGTAGACTCACCTGTGCACTCACCTGTACACTCACTCGCCTGCAGACTCACTCGCCTGTAGACTCACCTGTGCACTCACCTGTACGCTCACTCGCCTGTAGACTCACCTGCACACTCACGCACCTGCACACTCACCTGTAGACTCACCTGTAGACTCACCTGTACACTCACTCACCTGTACACTCACCTGCACACTCACGCACCTGTACACTCACCGGTACACTCACCGTTACACTCACTCACTGGCACACTCACCTGTACACTCACTCACCTGTACACTCATCTGCACACTGTAGCTTGGCATGTGATGTGATGTTGGGTGCCTGGGGGTGTAGGAGAGGGGTGAGTGGGTGGTGAGTGGTGGGTGGTGAGTGGTGGGTGGTGAGTGGTGGGTGGTGAGTGTGGGATGGGGGGGGTGAGTAGTTCGAGGTGAGGGGGATGGGAGGGAGGGAGAAAGAGAGGTGAGGGGCGGGGTGCTGACGCCTGTACGGTGTTTGGAGAGACACTGTAACACAGACAAAGATCCCCCGTGTAGTCTTAACAGACTATAGGGGCAAGTGCTGTTAGCAAGTAGCACTTAAGAAGGCCGGCACGTCAAATGAGGGGGTAGCAGGGCCAGCACCACGCGCGGCCACCTTTGTCTCCCCAGTGGCGATGTTTACACACCGCACCAGGCACTAATTTCAGGCTGAGTCGACCTAGGGGTGACCTAGGACCGGTTCAGATAATCGTCACTTGTGTTGGCCGTGAGCGGGAATCAGAACCCGGGTCTCCAGGTTCATAGCGCAGCGCGCTAACCGCTACACTACCGCTCCCCCAACATCATCAGCCACCATCACAAATCAATGAACGTCACCGGCATAATCATCATCACCATCACTTACTGACATAGCCAACCAACATCACCCACAACATCACCGTCACCAACCAACATCATCATTAAGCAACATCATCAATAACCAACATCACCGACATCACCACCATCACCAACATCACCATCATCACCCAACATCACCATCATCACCCAACATCAACATCACCATCATCACCAACATCACTAACATCACCATCACCAACATCACCATCATCACCCAACATCACCATCATCACCATCACCAACATCACCATCATCACCCAACATCACCAACATCACCATCATCACCAACATCACCATCATCACCCAACATCACTATCATCACCCAACATCACCACCAACATCACCACCGTCACCAACCAACAACATCATTAAGCAACATCATCAATAACCAACATTACCAACATCACCAACATCACCATCATCACCCAACATCACCAACATCACCATCATCACCATCACCATCATCACCCAACATCACTATCATCACCCAACATCACCACCAACATCATCATTAACCAACATCACCAACATCACCATCATCACCAACATCACCACCGTCACCAACATCACCATCACCACCAACATCACCACCGTCACCAACCAACATCACCACCAACATCACCACCAACATCACCACCGTCACCAACCAACATCATCATTAAGCAACATCATCAATAACCAACATCACCAACATCACCATCATCACCAACATCACCATTATCACCCAACATCACCATCATCACCCAACATCACCCAACATCACTATCATCACCATCACCATCATCACCCAACATCACTATCATCACCCAACATCACCACCAACATCACCACCAACATCACCACCATCACCAACATCACTATCATCATCCAACATCAACATCACCACCAACATCACCACCGTCACCAACCAACAACATCATCATCCACCACACCCATCACTACGCGACATCACCGCGATCACGTGAGCAGGCAGGCTGTCAATCAAAGACTAATTGGTCTCTGTGTGGGCCGGGTTGGATCAATGCGCGTGAACTCTCTGGGAGGACGTTTGTACACACGTGTGTACACACGTGTGTCGACACACGTGGACAAAGACAAAGGTCCCCCATATAGACTGCTGGGGCAAGTGCTTTTAGCGAGCAGCACCTATGAAGCCCGGCACGGTACACGAGGGGGTGGGTGGCCAGCACCATTCCCGGCCGCCTTTGTCTCCCCCAGTGCTCATGTTTATTACACAGCACGAGGTTACTCACTTAAGGTTGAGTCGACCTCGGAGAGGCCCAAGACCGGTTCAGAATGTTCGTCGCCGATGTTGGCCGTGAGCAGTGCGCCCACCACTGCGCCACCGCTCCCCACACGGAGACATCGAAGAACACACACATCACGCATCACACTCACACTACACCACACAAAACACCCATGCTTTACACACACCAAACAAAAAAGATCCCCCGTATAGCCTCAACAGATTGTTGGGGCAAGTGCTGTTCGCGAGCACAAATGAAGGCCGTCACTGAACACGAGGGGGTGGGTGGCCAGCACCTCGCCCGGCCGCCTTTGTCTCCCCAGTGGCGATGCTTGCACACAGCACCAGGTACTCATTTGAGACTGAGTCGACCTAGTGGAGGCCCAGGGATCGGTTCTGGCAATCGTCGCCGGTGTTGGCCGTGAGCGTGTAATCGAACTCGGGTCGCTGGGTTCGTAGTGTAGCGTAGCGCTAACCGCTACACCACCGCTCCCCACACAAACACACACACAGACACACAGACACACACAGTCACACACACAGACACACATCCCCTATGTTGCCTGAAATCAGAATTCATCCCCCTTTCCTCCTCCCCCATCCACCCCCCCCCCCCCCCGCAATGATGAACTCCCATCGCTGACCAGATGCACTGACATAGACTCACTCATTCACTCACTCATTCATTTACGTACCACATAGACACGTACACCATAGACTCATTCATCCATACACCACAGAGACACGTACACTATAGATTAACTCATTCCTTCATACACTACAGATACATACACCACAGATTCACTCACTCATTCACTCATTCATCCATGCACTACAGAGACACATACACCATAGATCAACTCATTCATTCGTACACCACAGAGACACATACATCACAAGACTTATTCATCCAGGCACCAAAGAGACACACACCATAAACTCATTCATTCACCCATATATCACAAAGAAACATACACCATAGATTCACTCATTCCTTCATACACTACAGATACATACACCATATACTCACTCTTTCATTCATACACCAGAGACACATACACCACAGATTCACTCACTCGTTCACTCATTCATCCATGCACCATAGAGCCACATACACTATAGATCAACTCATTCATTCGTACACCACAGAGACACATACATCACAAGACTTATTCATCCATGCACCAAAGAGACACACCTTAAACTCATTCATTCACCCATATATCACAGAGAAACATACGCCATAGACTCACTCATTTGATATCACAATCATCCACTCGTTTAGGCTTCGAGCCAATACATCGTTCTGTAAGTGTGAGCGTTCAGTGATGAAACGAATAATCGATTCGTTTCATCAGTGAAACGGGAAAAAGTCCTGCCTGTCCGCTCATTCCGATAATAATTTCCATTACTCATTTATTAATTCAGCCGTTCAATTATTCATTCGCGACACGATGCTGCATTAACATTACGAATGCGTGACCCCGTGTTGTTGTATTACCTTGGAGTTTCACCAGCGTTTCGGTCAAGCAAGCGAGCCCGACTCTGCTGATGAGACACTGAAAGTCGGAACCAACCCTTGCATATAAACATCTGAGCAGTTCACCATCTTTGGTTCAAGCGAGCCCGACTCTGCTGATGAGACACTGACTGTCGAAACCAACCCTTGATGATAAACATCTGAGCAGGTCACCGGCACTGCTTCAAGCGAGCCTGACTCTGCTGATGAGAAACTGAAAGTCAAAACACCGGTGCAGAGTTTTGCTTCTGATGAGCCAACACTACCGATGACATGCATCCTCAGAAGGCAGGCTGCGTCGCTGATGGGATGTGTAAAACAATATAATACTTGTATATGCATTTGCATAACAGAGAATGGCTTGACGACATACGAGCTTGGTGCCAGAATGATGTTGCCACTACTTGAGCCAATTGGCACGACAAGACAGAGAGGAAAGTGGAAACAAACGATGGAATGTGCTGGGGACACCAACGGGGCTATCGGCCCACATGGATCGTGATGATGATGCTGTGGGAAAGGCATGCGAGTTGGTCTGCTCTGTGATATCCAAACTTTCGCGGGTTGCAGAAGAGTTCGAGAGATCTATTTTCATACGACAACCACCCACCAACCCACCCACCAACCCACCTACCAACCCACCCACCTACCCACCCACCAACCCATCCACCAACCCACCCACCAACCACCCACCTACCCACCCATCAACCCACCTACCCACCCACCCACCAACCCATCCACCAACCCATCCACCAACCCACCCATCAACCCACCTACCAACCCACCCACCTACCCACCCATCAACCCACCTACCAACCCACCCACCTACACACCCATCAGCCCACCTACCCACCCATCCACCCACCCACCAACCCACCCACCAACTCACCCACCAACCCACCCATCAACCCACTCACCAACCCACCCACCAACCCACCCATAAACCCATCAACCCACCTACCCACCCACCAACCCATCCACCAACCCACCCATCAACCCACCTACCAACCCACCCACCTACCCACCCATCAACCCACCTACCAACCCACCCACCTACACACCCATCAACCCACCTACCCACCCACCCATCCACCCACCCACCAACTCACCCACCAACTCACCCACCAACCCACCCATCAACCCACTCACCAACCCACCCACCAACCCACCCACAAACCCACCCACCCACTCACCAACCCATCCACCTACCACCGATTGTCAACCAGTACCTCCACGATGTGACCACCCCCTAATAACCTCCCACTCGAGTCCCCGATCATCCCATTCCTTCTGGGATCGCGCTGCTGCTGCTGCTGCTGGTGGTCACCCATCCTCCTCGAGACATCTACTCTCAACCCAGAAGATCCGGAAGAGCGCTGCGTGGCGAACAGAGTTGAACAACAGCGGACGTCCAGAATAGCGCATCCTCAGTCGAGACCCCAACAAGATCATCGCACCTCCTCCCGGCTTTGTCTTTATAAATTATTTTTTTTTAAATCTCTTTTAAATCTGCCAGGTAAGGCCCACTGAGCTACGCAGTTTTTTTCGGAAGTGACCTGACCATCGCAAATTAGAGCCTCGACGAAGTGGACTCGCTCATCATCATCATCGCGTGGACATTTGCAGGAGCCAAATACTCTAAACGCGTGACCTTGAGTCTAAATGTGGAGGGGGGGAAAACGGGAGGACCCGGAGAAAAATCCACGCGACCGCGGAGAGAGAAAGACGCAAACTCCGAATATACAGCAGCAGGCGTCAGGGACCGGGTTCGAACCCACGCGCTCCTTCATACCAGGACGAGGTAGTTAACACCTCCACCTACCCCCTCCTCCTCAACCACCACCTCCTCTTAGAAGACAATGGTGGTGTAACGATCAACCGAATCGGAACATCATCAACACCAGACCGATGATGGGCGCAGCTGAAACTATATGGACCACACAGTACATAAATAGAGACACACAGAGATAAACAGACACGTGGAGATGCATAGCGATAAAGACCCACATATATACACAGACACGTAGAAATAAATAGAGACGCACCGAGATAGACAGAGACCCACAGCGATACGTAGAGCGACTCATAAAGATGCACAACAAACACACATGGATACGCAGAGACTCAGATAACCACGGGAGATAGAGACCCATAGAGATACGGAGATGCATTGAGGACAAGCCGCAGTCGTGCGGCTGTGGGCCATGAAGCCCACACTATATGGACCACACAGTAAACCCATAGAGACACACGGAGATACACAGAGACCCACAGCGATACGTAGAAGCGACTCATAGAGATGCACAGACACACAGGGATATGCAGACATTCATAGAAATACAGAGATGCAAGCCACAGCAATGCGACTGCGGCCATACAAACCCATCCCATGGACCGCAAATGTAACAACCGGTGCGGTCTGCGCTCCTTCGACGGAGGAGGAGGAAGGGACAGCGACACAAACTCTCTCCCTCTCTCCCTCTCGCTGCTGAATCTTTCTCGTCGTGGCGAGAAGCGGCGGCACCACCACAGTCGCATTGATCTCCTGAACGACAATAACAACAACTGCTGCTGCTACTGCCGCTGTTGTTGTTGTTGCTATCGTGCATGGGCAAGACGATATAATCGCTGCGATTCATCATCAATATTTTTTTTGGGTTATTGTTGGTTGGTTGTGTTGGATCGCCTGGATATAAATGCGCCGTTAAAGCGCGCCCGACGCAAGCCAATTATAAAGCGGTTGTCGCGTAAGCAGCACGTGCCAAGTGGTTGCTACTTCAGCACCACCGGTCTTCTGGAGAGTGAACCCACAACGTTGACAAGTCGAGGACCGCGACGCTTCGTTCTGGTGCATACAACCAACTTCATCAGGCGCTTTGTCACAATTATCTCACGTGGAACAAAAAAAAAAGACCTGTTGGTAGGTTAACGAGACGTTCATATTTACGCGAGATAACCCCCCCGGGTCGCGAAAGTCCACGTGTTGAACAGAATGGCCGTGAGTCTGCTGTAGCCTGGCACAGCGGTAGTGTAGCAGGTAGCGAGCTGCGCTACGAACCCAGACCCGAGTTCGATTCCAGCCCACGGCTACCAACACCGGTGGTGGTCCTGGGCCTCCTCTAGCTCGGCTCAGCCTCAAATGAGTACCTGGTGCGGTGTGTAAACAACATCGCCACTGGGGAGACAAAGGCGGTCTGGCGTGATGTTGTGGCCACCCACCCCCTCGTGTGCCGTGCCGGCCTTCAAAGATGCTGCTTGCCCCAACAGTCTGTTAAGACTACACGGGGGACCTTTGTATTTGCCTTCACAGCACGGTTCGTGGTGATCTTAACGCGCGCGTGTGTTGTGTATGATGTTTACGTGTTGTCTGATGTTTACGTGTTGTATTGTGTTGTGTGTTTGTGTTGTGTATGTTGTTTGTGACGTGTGCGTTGTGTATATTGTTGTCTTACGTGTAGTGTTTGTGTCCTGCGATGCATGTTTGCATGTGACATGCACTGTCACGCAGGGTACACATTATATGCACACAAAGGTAAAGATCCCCCCGGGTAGCCTTTGGCAGACTGTTGGGGCAAGTGCTGTTCGCGAGCATCACCGCTCTCCCAATACACACAGTGCACATATACAAAGATCACCCGTATAGGCGTAACAGACTGCAGGGGCAAGTGCTGTTCGCAAGAAGCACCACCCATGAAGGCCGCCACGGTGCACGAGGAGGGGGTGTGGGTGGGGTAAGCCAGAACCATTCCCGGCCGCCTTTGTCTCTCCAGTGACGGGTGACCCATTTGAGGCCGAGTCGACCGAAGGGAAACCCAGGTCATGGTTCACACATTTCGGGACTCGGGTCGTCGGGTTCGTAGCGCAGTGCGCTAACCAATGCGCCACCGCTCCACACCTATATACATATACACGCACACACACACACATTCACACAGAGATGTAAAAAGACAAAGATGCCCCTTGTAGGCTCACAGGCTGGTGGGGCAAGTGCTGTTGGCGAGCACCTATAAAGGCCGGCACGGGGGACCCATGAGCGAGGTTGCGTGGCAAACACAACGCCCGGACGCCTTTGTCTCTCCACTGCTGATGCCTACGCGCACACACACACACGCGCGTACCAGGTGTACTGATTTAAGGTTTGCGTCGACCAAGAGGCGACCCAGGACCGGTTCAGATCGACAATCATCACTCGCGCACTGACGTTTATAGGCCGGGAATTGAAAGTCAGATCGGCGGGTTCGTAGCGCAGTGCGCTAACCGCTGAGTCACCGCTCCAAAATAAAGACAAAGGTAACCCCTATAGCCTTAGAAGTCTGTCCCAGGACAAGTGCTGTTAGCGAGCATCACCGCTCTCCCAATACACTTTTATATATATAAGGAGAGAGATCACCCGGATAGCTTTAATATACTGTTGTTTGGGGCAAGTGCTGTTAGCGAGTAGCACCTATGAAGGCCGGCACGGCACACGAGGGGGTGGGTGGCCAGGAAGCACGCCCGGCCGCCTTTGTCTCGCCAGTGGCGATCTTTACACACCGCACTTATTTGAGGCTGAGTCGACCTAGGCGAGGCCCAGGACCGATTCAAACATAATCGCCACCGGTGTTGGCCGTGAGCGAGAATCGAACTCTGGTCGCTGGGTTCTTAGTGCAGCTACCACCGCTCACCACAACACATACACACACAGTTCATACGCATAGACACACACACACGCGTTTCATATACTATATTTATAATACAATAAGGGTGAGAGGCCAAATAACAGATATACAACCGATATATACACAACACAGACATTATGAATATCTCAACCACAACATATGCACACAATATGCATAATACAAACAGTCTATACATGCACTACACACATCATGTACACACTGTGTATACACAATATACACACTATACACATAACACAATGTATACATACCAAATATACACAACGTATACAATGTATACACATACAATACACAAATAACACAACACACAATATGTATATACAGACGATATACACAAACACAATGTATACATACACCGCACAAACACACTGAATGCACACACTATACACATAACATACCACACAAAATGTATACACACAGCACAACCACAACGGACACCCACAAAACCAACGAAATATGTCTAACACCTGCAAAACAACGTCCATATACAACAACAACCGCCATTCGCCACTAAGTGGCGGTGACGTCACCACGACGCTTGTGCCAGGCCATGTGCACCTTGAGGCCACGTGAAGTGTCGAACGCCCGCTGGCAGGAGGTCACGGGGCAGATCCAGGTCCCACGGGTCGACTGACTGAGATATACACAAACAACACACACACTGAGATATACACAAACAACACACACACACTGAGATATACACAAACAACACACACACACTGAGATATACACAAACAACACACACACACACTGAGATATACACAAACAACACACACACTGAGATATACACAAACAACACACACACTGATATATACACAAACAACACACACACTGAGATATACACAAACAACACACACATACTGAGATATACACAAACAAGACACACACACTGAGATATACACAAACAAGACACATACTGAGATATACACAAACAACACACACACTGAGATATACACAAACAAGACACATACTGAGATATACACAAACAAGACACACACACACTGAGATATACACAAACAAGACACACACACACTGAGATATACACAAACAACACACATACTGAGATATACACAAACAACACACACACACACTGAGATATACACAAACAACACACACACACTGAGATATACACAAACAACACACACACACTGAGATATACACAAACAACACACACACACTGAGATATACACAAACAACACACACTGAGATATACACAACACACACACACACTGAGATATACACAAACAACACACACACTGAGATATACACAAACAACACACACACACTGAGATATACACAAACAACACACACACACTGAGATATACACAAACAACACACACACACACTGAGATATACACAAACAACACACACACTGAGATATACACAAACAACACACACACTGCTCACACACATGCACATGCATCGTGTCTGTAATCATTATGAGCATTGTGTAACCTTGTTATGTCACGTATTTTTTATTGTACACTTCGCGCGTGTGTGTGTACACTTATTTTGACACACGTGTGTGTGTGTGTTTTATGTAACTGTACACTAGTAAACAGATGCAAACATCTGTTTACTATGTAATATTCGCAAAACAATGACAGAACAAACATATGCTTTGATACAAATAGGTACAAAGACAAAGATCCCCCGTGTAGCCTTTCACAGAGTGTTGGGGCAAGAGCTGTCGGCGTGCAGCACCTATGAAGGCCGGCACGGCACACGAGGGGCTGGGTGGTCAGCACCACGCCCGGCCGCCTTTGTCTCTCTAGTGGCGATGTTCATTGCACACCGCACCAGGTACTCATTTGAGGCCGAGTCGACCTAGGGTGGGCCACAGGGCCGGTGTAGATATATGTCGGGGTTTGGGTCGCCGGGTTCGTAAGCGCAGCGTGCTAACCACCGCGCCACCGCTCCCCCACACACCCACACACGGCGTGCATATCATCTCAACGTGTGCACTGGGATTTAACACAAAGAGGCGTCACTGTGTGTCCCTGTTATGTGCCACACACACAACACACACAACACACGCACACACATAGCGCGTACGTGTACGCGTTATGTGCACGCTGTGTGTATGACGCGTGCTATCTGTACACTATGCGATTCATATGCGATGCAAAAAATTAAATTAATAAAACATGATTGACGTGTGACACCTTCGTTACATCCACTGCTGGATGATTCCCTCCGTGCACACAGGGCGTGTCTCGTTCAAGGAGGGGTTTGGTTGTTTGACCATACTTCACCACCCTGGTCAATGCGGGTTGGTGAAGACTCCCCCCCCCCCCGCTTCGCCACTGATGTTGGCCGGGGGATCAAACTCAGCTGGCCGGGTTCGTGGGAGTGCAGAGCTCCAAGACAAAGCTCCCCCGTGTAGCCTTGACAGACTGTAGGGGCAAGTGCTGTTAGCGAGTGGCACCTGTGACGGCAGGCACGGCGCACGAGGGGGTGGGCGGCCAGCACCACGCCCGGCCGCCTTTGTCTCCCCAGTGACGATGCTTACACAACCGCACCAGGTGCTGTACTCATTTGAGGCTGAGCCGACCTAGAGGAGGAGGCCCAGGACCGGTTCAGATCATCGTCACCGGTGTTGGTTGCGGCCGTGAGCGCGAATCGAACTGTGGTGGCCGGGGTTTGTCGGTAGCGCGGTGACGCTAACCGCTGCGCCACCGCTCCTCCTCCCCCCCATGCATCACCATCCAGAGGATTTACGTGGAGAGGGAGAGGCCGATGGGGAGAGACAGAGAGGGATAGACAGAGAGAGGAACACGTGGATTAGAGGATGTTACTACGCGTGTCAAGTGAAAGGCGCTCGCGACTTCGCGTGGATTTGGGTCCGGGCGAGTGACGGGCGGCTCCAGGAGGAGAGAAAACGGCGAGGAGGATGACTACTGATGGTCGAGATTAGAGACAGAGTAGGGGGGGGGAGAGACAGAGGAGATGGTCGCCAAACATCTCGAGAGACAGAGAGATGGCTGCTCATGTTATAACAGACAGCACACCGTTACTACATGCTGTTATAACAGACACAGCACACCGTTATTGCATGCTGTTATAACAGACACAGCACACCGTTACTACATGCTGTTATAACAGACACAGCACACCGTTACTACATGCTGTTATAACAGACACAGCACACCGTTACTACATGCTGTTATAACAGACACAGCACACAGTTATTGCATGCTGTTATAACAGACACAGCACACCGTTACTACATGCTGTTATAACAGACACAGCACACCGTTATTGCATGCTGTTATAACAGACACAGCACACCGTTACTACATGCTGTTATAACAGACACAGCACACAGTTATTACATGCTGTTATAACAGACACAGCACATCGTTATTACATGCTGTTATAACAGACACAGCACATCGTTACTACATGCTGTTATAACAGACACAGCACACCGTTACTACATGCTGTTATAACAGACACAGCACACCGTTATTACATGCTGTTATAACAGACACAGCACACCGTTACTACATGCTGTTATAACAGACACAGCACACCGTTACTACATGCTGTTATAACAGACAGCACACCGTTACTACATGCTGTTATAACAGACACAGCACACAGTTATTACATGCTGTTATAACAGACAGCACACCGTTACTACATGCTGTTATAACAAACACAGCATATCGTTATTACATGCTGTTATAACAGACAGCACACCGTTGCTATATGCTGTTATAACAGACACAGCAGATCGTTATTACATGCTGTTATAACAGACACAGCACACCGTTATTACATGCTGTTATAACAGACACAGCACACCGTTATTGCATGCTGTTATAACAAACAGCACACCGTTATTACATGCTGTTATAACAGACACAGCACACCGTTACTACATGCTGTTATAACAGACACAGCACACCGTTATTGCATGCTGTTATAACAAACAGCACACCGTTATTACATGCTGTTATAACAGACAGCACACCGTTACTACATGCTGTTATAACAAACACAGCATATCGTTACTACATGCTGTTATAACAGACAGCACACCGTTACTACATGCTGTTATAACAGACACAGCACACCGTTACTACATGCTGTTATAACAGACACAGCATATCGTTATTACATGCTGTTATAACAGACACAGCACACCGTTACTACATGCTGTTATAACAGACACAGCACACCGTTATTACATGCTGTTATAACAGACACAGCACACAGTTATTACATGCTGTTATAACAGACACAGCACACAGTTATTACATGCTGTTATAACAGACAGCAGATCGTTACTACATGCTGTTATAACAGACACAGCACACAGTTATTACATGCTGTTATAACAGACACAGCACACCGTTACTACATGCTGTTATAACAGACACAGCACACCGGTATAGCAGAGGGACAATATAACAAACCAGTCTATAACAGACCAGTCTAACAGACCAGTCTATAACAAACCAGTCTATAACAGACCAGTCTATAACAGAGTGGTATAACGGACCAGTCTAACAGACCAGTCTATAAGAGACCAGTCTACAAGAAACCAGTCTAACCGACCAGTCTAACAGACCAGTCTATACCAGATCAGTCTAACAGACCAGTCTAACAGATCAGTCTATAACAGACCAGTCTATAACAGACCAGTCTATAACACATCAGTCTAAGAGACCAGGCTATACCAGAGTGGTACAAGAGATCAGTCTATAACAGAGTGGTATAAAAGACCAGTCTATAACAGAGTGGTATAAGAGACCAGTCTATAACAGAGTGGTACAAGTTGACCAGTCTATAACAGACAAGTCTAACAGACCAGTCTATAACAGATCAGTCTATACCAGAGTGGTATAAGAGACCAGTCTATACCAGAGTGGTATAACAGACCAGTCTATACCAGAGTGGTATAAGAGACCAGTCTATAACAGAGTGGTATAAGAGACCAGTCTATAACAGAGTGGTATAAGAGACCAGTCTATACCAGAGTGGTATAACAGACCAGTCTATACCAGAGTGGTATAAGAGACCAGTCTATACCAGAGTGGTATAAGAGACCAGTCTATAACAGAGTAGTATAAGAGACCAGTCTAAAACAGAGTGGTATAAGAGACCAGTCTATACCAGAGTGGTATAAGAGACCAGTCTATACCAGAGTGGTATAAGAGACCAGTCTATACCAGAGTGGTATAACAGACCAGTCTATACCAGAGTGGTATAAGAGACCAGTCTATACCAGAGTGGTATAAGAGACCAGTCTATACCAGAGTGGTATAAGAGACCAGTCTATAACAGAATGGTATAAGAGACCAGTCTATGACAGAGTGGTATAAGAGACCAGTCTATAACAGAGTGGTATAAGAGACCAGTCTATACCAGAGTGGTATAAGAGACCAGTCTATACCAGAGTGGTATAACAGACCAGTCTATAACAGAGTGGTATAAGAGACCAGTCTATGACAGAGTGGTATAAGAGACCAGTCTATAACAGAGTGGTATAAGAGACCAGTCTATAACAGAGTGGTATAAGAGACCAGTCTATAACAGAGTGGTATTACAGACCAGTCTATAACAGAGTGGAATAAGAGACCAGTCTATAACAGAGTGGTATAAGAGATCAGTCTATACCACAGTGGTATTACAGACCAGTCTATAACAGAGTGGTATAAGAGACCAGTCTATACCAGAGTGGTATAACAGACCAGTCTATAACAGAGTGGTATAAGAGACCAGTCTATACCAGAGTAGTATAAGAGACCAGTCTATAACAGAGTGGTATAAGAGACCAGTCTATACCAGAGTGGTATAAGAGACCAGTCTATACCAGAGTGGTATAACAGACCAGTCTATAACAGAGTGGTATAAGAGACCAGTCTATACCAGAGTAGTATAAGAGACCAGTCTATAACAGAGTGGTATAAGAGATCAGTCTATACCACAGTGGTATTACAGACCAGTCTATAACAGAGTGGTATAAGAGACCAGTCTATACCAGAGTGGTATAACAGACCAGTCTATAACAGAGTGGTATAAGAGACCAGTCTATATCAGAGTAGTATAAGAGACCAGTCTATAACAGAGTGGTATAAGAGACCAGTCTATACCAGAGTGGTATAAGAGACCAGTCTATACCAGAGTGGTATAACAGACCAGTCTATAACAGAGTGGTATAGGAGACCAGTCTATACCAGAGTGGTATAACAGACCAGTCTATAACAGAGTGGTATAAGAGACCAGTCTATAACAGAGTGGTATAAGAGACCAGTCTATACCAGAGTGGTATAACAGACCAGTCTATAACAGAGTGGTATAAGAGACCAGTCTATACCAGAGTGGTATAACAGACCAGTCTATAACAGAGTGGTATAAGAGACCAGTCTATAACAGAGTGGTATAAGAGACCAGTCTATACCAGAGTGGTATAACAGACCAGTCTATACCAGAGTGGTATAAGAGACCAGTCTATACCAGAGTGGTATAAGAGACCAGTCTATACCAGAGTGGTATAACAGACCAGTCTATAACAGAGTGGTATAAGAGACCAGTCTATAACAGAGTGGTATAAGAGACCAGTCTATACCAGAGTGGTATAACAGACCAGTCTATACCAGAGTGGTATAACAGACCAGTCTATACCAGAGTGGTATAAGAGACCAGTCTATACCAGAGTGGTATAACAGACCAGTCTATACCAGAGTGGTATAACAGACCAGTCTATAACAGAGTGGTATAAGAGACCAGTCTATACCAAAGTGGTATAAGAGACCAGTCTATACCAGAGTGGTATAAGAGACCAGTCTATACCAGAGTGGTATAAGAGACCAGTCTATACCAGAGTGGTATAACAGACCAGTCTATAACAGAGTGGTATAACAGACCAGTCTATACCAGAGTGGTATAACAGACAAGTCTATAACAGACCAGTCTAGACCCAGACAATAACCAGACCCCATCGAGGCGGCACCACCGCCCGTGCCCACAGGCCCCGTACTGGGGGTTAGGGGGTGACCGCCTTATCCCCTCGCAGGGGTCCAGGGTGGGCCCCGCATCCGCCTGCCCCCCCCACCACCACGCCCGCGCCAACCCCGAACCCCCCGCGTCTGCGCTACCCCCCCCGATCCCCCCCTCCTCCCCCTTCTCCTCCCCCCCCCTCCTCCCTCCCCACCCGCCCCGCCCCCGTGAGTTATAGCGAGGGAGCGCAGAGCGCGGGGACTCAGAGGGGGAACGGCTACGGCATCAGCCACGAACCCCGCGTGCGAGCGGGGAGGAGGTGGAGGAGGTGGTGGTGGTGGTTGTGGTGGTGGTGGTTGTGGTGGTTGTGGTGGTGGTGGTTGTTGTGGTGGTGGTGGTGGTTGTTGTGGTGCTGGTGGTGGTGGTCCTGGTGGTGGTGCTAGTGGTGGTGGTGGTGTGCGACTGCGGGAGGTGACCGAGGGTGTGCCTGTGGTTGGTGGTTGTGGTTGGTGTGAGCGGGGCGGTTCGCTACCTCGAGGCGTGGTGGGTGTGCGTGTGTGTGTGTACGTGTGTGTGTGTACGTGTGTGTGTGTGTACGTGTGTGTGTGTGTGTACGTGTGTGTGTGTACGTGTGTGTGTGCGCGTGTGTGCGCGTGTGTGTGTGCGCGTGTGGGTGGTGCGTGTGTGTGCGCGTGTGCGCGTGTGCACGTGTGTGTGTGCGCGTGTACGTGTGTGCGTGTACGTGTGTGTGTGCGCGTGTGTGTGTACGTGTGTGTGTGCACGTGTGTGTGCGCGTGTGTGTGCGCGTGTGTGTGCACGTGTGCGTGTGTGTGTGTGCGTGCGTGTGTGCGTGCGCGTGTGTGTGTGCGCGTGTGTGTGTGTGTGTTTGAGGAGGGGTGAGTTTGTGGCTGAATGTGCGTTTGTGGAGGGGTGCGAGTGTACATAGGTGCGAAAGGTGAGCGCGCGTGGTGTGGTGTGGCGTGAAGTGCGGTGTGAGGAGCGGTGCGGTGTGGGGTGTGTGGTGTGGTGTGAGGTGCGGTGTGCTGTGTGGTGTGCTGTGTGTGGTGTGAGGTGCGGTGTGGTGTGCGGTGCGGTGTGGGGTGTGTGGTGTGGTGTGAGGTGCGGTGGCGTGTGGACCAATCGGAACCACCATCGCCCCCGAGCCACCACCGCCCCGGTTCGCAACCCCGCCACGGGGGTTCGCTCCCAAGAAGAACAGGAAGGAGACCCCCGCAGGAGCAACCCCTGTAGACCCCCTCGCCGCCTTGGCGAGACTGGGCCCCGCGCGGACCCCCTTCCCGGGCCCTCCGCGCCCCCCGGGACCCCTAAACCCCCGATTCCGGGCCCCGGGGTTCGTGATGCTGGTGCCTCGGATCGAGACGGGGCCCTCGGGGCGCGCGGGGCCCGGCTGCGGAGTCAAACCCGAACCCGACGGGGACGCAGTGAGTAGCCCCGCGACACTCACCACGTCACTCACCACGCCACTCACCACGACACTCACCACGCCACTCACCCCACGACTCACCACGCCACTCACCACGCCACTCACCACGTCACTCACCACGCCACTCACCCCGCCACTCACCCCGCCACTCACCACGTCACTCACCACGACACTCACCCCGCCACTCACCCCGCGACACACCACGCCACTCACCACGTCACTCACCCCACGACTCACCCCGCCACTCACCACGTCACTCACCCCGCCACTCACCCCGCCACTCACCCCACGACACACCACGCCACTCACCACGTCACTCACCCCACGACTCACCCCGCCACTCACCACGCCACTCACCCCACGACTCACCCCACGACTCACCCCGCGACTCGCCACGCCACTCACCCCGCCACTGACCACACCACTCACCCCGCGACTCACCCTTCCTTACCCCTCTCTCTCTTCTCTCTCCCCGCGTACTCCCTCTCCTCTCTCTTCTCTCACAAGAATTCGCCCCTCTCGCACTCTCTCCACGTTCCTCGGCCACTCTTTTCTCTCTCTTCACTCCCCGACTCCATAGCTACACCCATAGCCACGCTCATATTACAACACCCATAGCTACACCCATAGCCACGCTCATACTACAACACCCATAGCTACACCCAAAGCGACACTCCTACTACAACACCCATAGCTACACCCATAGCCACGCTCATACTACAACACCCATAGCTACACCCATAGCCACACTCCTACTACAACACCCATAGCTACACCCATAGCCACGCTCATACTACAACACCCATAGCTACACCCAAAGCGACACTCCTACTACAACACCCATAGCTACACCCATAGCCACGCTCATACTACAACACCCATAGCTACACCCATAGCCACACTCCTACTACAACACCCATAGCTACACCCATAGCCACGCTCATACTACAACACCCATAGCTACACCCATAGCCACGCTCATACTACAACACCCATAGCTACACCCAAAGCGACACCCATAGCCACACTCCTACTACAACACCCATAGCTACACCCAAAGCGACACCCATAGCCACGCTCATACTACAACAATTCATAGCTACCCCCATAGCCACACTCCTACTACAACACCCATAGCTACACCCAAAGCGACACCCATAGCCATGCTCATACTACAACACCCATAGCTACACCCATAGCGACACCCATAGCCACACTCCTACTACAACACCCATAGCTACACCCAAAGCGACACCCATAGCCTTGCTCATACTACAACACTTCATAGTTACCCCCATAGCCACACTCCAACTACAACACCCATAGCTACACCCATAGCTACCCCCATAACCACACTCCTACGACAACACCCATAGCTACACTTATCGCGACACCAACAGATACATCCAAAGCAAGATTCATCGTTTCACTCAAACAACACCCATAGCTACACCCTATAGCAACACACGTAGCAACACCCATAGCTACACCCTATAGCAATACTCTTAACAACACCCATAGCAACACCCATAGCACCACCCATAGCTACACCCTATAGCAACACCCATAGCTACACCCTGTAGCAACACACGTAGCAACACCCATAGCTACACCCTATAGCAATACTCAAAACAACACCCATAGCACCACCCATAGCTACACCCATAGCAACACTCATAGCAACACCCATAGCTACACACTATAGCAACACACGTAGCAACACTCAAAACTAAATCCATAGCTACACCCATAGGTATACCCTATAGCAACACCCAAAACTACATATATAGGGAACACCAATAGCATCACAAATGACAATAGACACAACAGCACAACGCACCGCCCAACAAACAAATTACACGACACACACAACACAGCAAGAGCACAACCCACATATTATACAACACAAATCGCGTTACACAACACGCATCTTGTACAGCACGCACGACACACCACACACACACACAACCACGACACCCATACACAACACAATACACAACACGAAGCCCAAACAACAACGCGATTACACAACAAACTATAGACCACAACAGCCATAATAATAATGACGATATTATCACACCATCCTGATCCCTGCAATTGAATCACATATCTGGGACAGCTCACGATGGAGTCGTGGTCTATCTACTGCTGTATGATCTCCTCCTTGTCTTCCTCAATCCGCCACGTCCACACGATCCCGCCAGCTAATTGCACCATCGCTCCATCAACTCCCTCTTTCTCTCTATCTCTGGTCGCGTTCCATCTCCCCTTGACTGCCGCTCCTTAAGCAGCCTCGACCCTCGTCGCCTTCACCTTGGCCCGCGACGCTCCCTGTCCCGCAGACCCGACTCATCTGCCATGATGTCTCTCGCCTGGCGTACGCGGTGGCTAGGAGATGTTAACTACCTCGCCCGGTATACAGGAGGTCGTGGGTTCAATCCCGACCCTGACACCTGCTTTATATTTGTAGTTTGCGTGTCTCTCTCATCATCATCATCACGGTGGCTAGGAGATGTTAACTACCTCGCTCGGTATACAGGAGGTCGTGGGTTCGATCCCGACCCTGAAGCCTGCTGCTGTATATTCGTAGTTTGCGTGTCTCTCTCATCATCATCATCACGGTGGCTAGGAGATGTTAACTACCTCGCCCGGTATACAGGAGGTCGTGGGTTCGATCCCGACCCTGACGCCTGCTGCTGTATATTTGTAGTTTGCGTGTCTCTCTCATCATCATCATCACGGTGGCTAGGAGATGTTAACTAACTCGCCTGGTATACAGGAGGTCGTGGGTTCGAGAAGCCTGCTGCTGTATATTTGGAGTTTGCGTCTCTTTCTCTCTCTCCGTGGTCGCGTAGATTTTTCTCCAGGTGCTCCGGTTTTACCTGGTAAAAAAAAAACAATAGTTGGGTTTGCTGATTGTACAGTATACCTCGATATACGTCACCGCAGTTTAACGTCGTTTCGCAAATTACGTCGTCACTTTGTTATTAACACCGCGAGAACCGATTTGCGTCGCCTAGACCCACCCACACTTAGGTCGCTGGCAACAGCAACGTCGTGCTGTCATTCTCGTTATACGTCGCTTCTCAGGCTTCGCCTCCACCACCACCCACTACCACCACCCACTACCACCTCCACCACCACCCACTACCACCACCCACTACCACCTCCACCACCCACTACCACCTCCACCACCCACTACCACCACCCACTACCACCACCCACTACCACCACCCACTACCACCTCCACCACCCACTACCACCACCCACTACCACCTCTACCACCCACTACCACCACCCACTACCACCACCCACTACCACCACCCACTACTACCACCACCACCACCACCACCCACTACCACCTCCACCACCCACTACCACCACCTCCACCACCCACTACCACCACCAACTCCCACTACCATCACCACCACCATCACCACCCACTACCACCTCCACCACCCACTACCACAACCAACTCCCACTACCATCACCACCACCACCCACTACCATCACCACCACCCACTCCCACCACCAACTACCACCTCCACCACCCACTACCACAACCAACTCCCACTACCATCACCACCACAACTCACTACCACCACTCACTACCACCTCCACCACCCACTACCACCTCCACCACCCACTACCACCACCAGCACCCACTACCACCACCACCCACTACCACCTCCACCACCCACTACCATCACCACCACCACCTCCACCACCCACTCCCACCACCAACTCCTACTACCATCACCACCACCACCCACTACCAACTCCCACTACCATCACCACCACCACCACCACCCACTACCACCACCAACTCCCACTACCACCACCCACTACCACCTCCACCACCCACTCCCACCACCAACTCCCACTACCATCACCACCACCACCCACTACCAACACCACCACCCCCCACCACACACGGCCCCCACCACCAACCCTGTAAATCGCTCCTTCGGTTGACGTCGTTTCGAGACGCATCGCATCACCTTTGAGGATCGCATCCCCGACGTAAAGCGGGGTAATACTCAATATACAGAGTGAGACGCACATACATAGTACAGTAATACATAGTACAGTAATACATAGTACAGTAATACATAGTACAGTAATACAAACATATATATGGTAATAACTGAGTGGCGAGTGTGAATTCTAGTGATGTTCTGGAAGGGATAGAGAGCTGAGTGAGTGATGTTAATTCTGGTGATGTTCTAGAAGGGATAGAGAGCCGAGTGGGTGATGTGAATTCTAGTGATGTTCTAGAAGGGATAGAGAGCTGAGTGAGTGATGTGAATTCTAGGGATGTTCTGGTAGGGCTAGAGAGCTGAGTGAGTGATGTGAATTCTAGCGATGTTCTGGTAGGGCTAGAGAGCTGAGTGAGTGATGTGAATTCTAGTGATGTTCTGGAAGGGGTAGAGAGCTGAGTGAGTGATGTGAATTCTAGTGATGTTCTGGTAGGGGTAGAGAGCTGAGTGGGTGATGTGAATTCTAGTGATATTCTGGTAGGGCTAGAGAGCTGAGTGAGTGATGTGAATTCTAGTGATGTTCTGGAAGGGGTAGAGAGCTGAGTGGGTGATGTGAATTCTAGTGATGTTCTAGAAGGGGTAGAGAGCTGAGTTTTTACAAACGCGTGGTTGAGTCCATGGCAATTGTTTTCAAAATCTGAAAACCAAACATACAGATTCATCGGTGGCCTCCCACAATATGAACTGGGGGGTATTGGGGGGCAGTAGCAATATTGGATGCTTGTAGATGTTCTAATCTTTGCTATTCAACACGAGCGTGGACCTGGCGTGCTCTGGGATGGAGAGCCGAATTCTGATTTGGTGTCGTATTTTAAGTGGCTGCGCTGCTGTGAGGCTTGCGATGTACGAGTTATTCGCAATGCATAATCACTATATTGTAATAGTAGTAGCACGTGGTTGTTATAATATTAATGCGTTTTCTTCTCGAAATCAACATTCTGTTTACGAGACGTACTCA